TCATAGCGTTCATGTAGTGCTCTTAAAAAGAGATAGTGTATCGTTGGTAGGCAGTTACTGAAAATGTGACTACTTAGCTCATGGCCCTGAAATAAGGACTTGTTTGAGAGGAAATTTTTCTACACAGTATGCATTGTTCAGGAGTGAATGTTTTAGCGGACGAGATGGGAGGGATGGGGCATACAAATGGAACCAACTCTACATTTGCATGCTTTTCCACAAAATTTTTCTCATCACGTTCAAAGAAAATCCGGTTAAGTTTGCTTCTTTTCTTTGCTATACATCATTTGAGCTATCCCTCTTTCATTCGCACTTAGGTATGTAATAGGTTGGATAACTAACCATAGACCCATCCTTGCTCAGACCAAGACCAGTCCAAGAATCTGTCAGAAGCTTTGTCTCTAACGAAAACTCGATCTCGTCTGTCTCTTCCATATAGTTCCACGACAACTTATAATCGCAGTCGGAACAACCAGGAGGATATCGGAAGTCTCCATAGCAAACATCACCGCCTACTGAAATGCATCAGCTCACTTTAGCTATGTATAGTACATTGATCACGCAAAAAACTAACCTTTAAGTTTGCTTGGTTTCTGCACCTTGGGAGTTGTGGTAGGTGTAGACGAAGTGGACTTGGTTGTTAATGAAGCTGAACAGGCAGAGTTTATTTGCAACAATTGTATTATATTACCGCCCTGATTAGTTCAAGCTCGTAAACTAACAATGAACTTAGAGCCTCGTCGCATAAAGACGTATAACCCTTAGACGGAAATGACAAAATCATACAAGAGATTAGATTTATATGAGACATTTCGAAAAATTGTAAAATTTCAGAAGTAAATTATGTAGCCACAAAATGCATTTCTGCTTCTCGTATTTTCTCTTCTCGTAACTGATACTCACTCTCAGTAGGACAATCTCCCCAATAGACGCATACTCCCTGAGGATTACGGGCATATCCTTGCATACAAGCACATGCTGGAGTTCCACATTTATCGCAATCGGCTCTGGTGAAAATCGAGACACAATCGGGCTCGCAAACTCGTCCGCATTCAACGATTGTCTCGTTTACGGCGCATTTCAAACTGTCAGGATTTTGTGTCGACGTTGTCGGGGGTGCCGTCTGCACGGGTACATCCACTGAAATTAACATGCCATTATTATAACGTACGCGAAAAGCAATTTCTAGATAACATTTGTTTGGTTTTTTATTCAATACTTAATTTCATTGAATAGAAGTATGCTGCAATTTATTCGTTTACCATTATTTATTCCCACCACATTTTGAAAAGAATTTTATCTTATTTTTCTAAAAGAACTTTATCTATAGTGAATCAAAGTGAAGAAGTGGACTAATGACCTGACGGGGGCCCGCAAACACGAATCCCATTTAATAGAAGAAAACCTGCTGTGAAATAAAATGACAAAGTGCCCAGTCTGCAATCTATAGACAACATTGCAATTGAAAACTAATGGTGCTATATTTAGTAGGGAAACCAGATTAGTGAAAGAGAAGTTGAATCTAAGAAGTTCATTAGACAGGAACTGTAGAATTAAATTAAAATACAGAGCTAGGCAAAAGGGTCGATTTCCCCTGATAAAAGTATATTGTAGCAATCTTAGGGATTTCTACAAAGGACACTTGTAATAATTTTAAATGTTTGGTCATAGTTCCCTTTTTTGAACGAAGTTCAAATATGGAGATTACGTTATGTGACTACAGGTGGTATGTAGATTAATTATTTGTGTCTACAAAGAAGCATTATCGGCTTTGTCCAAACTGTTACTGCCAGCTTAATTAGAGCACAACTTCCAAAAAATATTGATGGATTGCAGTGACGAAGTACGAATCGCTATTGAAAAAACGATTGGTCTTTTCATCGGTTAAGGCTTTCATATGGTAAGAAAGGCATATTTTTATCTAAAAACCAACCTCCTAACTAAGACAAAAAAGGAGATATTTTTTTTGTGCACCAGTTTCGATAGTGTTAGGGAGAATTGTTATTTCAAGAATGTACATTGTTGGGAATATAAAAGAAAGTGGTTTGAAGAGAACGCAATGAACTGAAGCACCGTCAACGAACACAACTTTCAAACTAATTATTGGAAGGCCATGTTTCTTGTTTTGCTCTAAAAGCACCGGCAAACTCTGCCTAATACATGCATGAACTTTCAGGGTGTAATGGTCCCTTTGTTGAAGGTAACGCGATCACGAGACATACCTGATACAGCGGAGGTACGAACAACTTCCGTGGTTTGTTTGGTCTCACCAAGATGAGTGTCGATATCTGCGAAAAGAATTCTTTTGTAAAAGAGTGGCTGTGGTATTATTGTTTAGGTAGGTAAATAAACTTCCTTTAGATTTCAGCAATCAAAGAAAAGCGTTTATTATGGGTCTTGCAAACAATATAGTTCAGGACTCGATGTTCAACAAAACAAAAACCTCTCAAAATCAAGTCAACTTACCAGGACAATCTCCCCAATAGATACATTTTCCTTCATGTCGTACATAATTGTCAGCGCAAGTGCATGCGGATTTTTCGCAGGTGGCTGGACATGGAGCCGTGTCGTACATATTCGAACAGCTGGGCTCACATGCTGTGCCACATTTGGCCCAGGTTGAGTTTGTGGGACATGATGGTTCAGCCTATAACATAATTAAGCAGTATTTATGAATCTCGCGCTACTACAGATGCAACCCTGACCTCTTTGTCGCAGAATTCAAATGGAACACATACTTCGTCATCGTTTGTCATGCGAACGTAACCTTCCTGAAAGAAACTCGTCATTTACAATCTTTAAAAAAAGTGCGTAATATTTGACAGCACCTTGCAAATGCATCGTGCTGTTCCACAGGATCTAGGGCAGTTTGGAATAGTTTCGGGAAATCTCGTCCAGTCACAAGAAGGCTCACAATCTCTTGAAGTCTCTGGACATGAAGACCATTGCTCATTGGGACCGCATTCTTCACCTGGATCACAGATTAAATCTTCAATCTTCCTCTGTACAATGTTAGAGCTTACTGCTGGAGGCATTAGCTGTGGTTGTAGTCACTGAGATCACTGTTGAAGTCAGCGTGGAACTTCCTGTAGTTCTTCTGGCTGCCGTAGTTTCTGTTGGAGTGTTCGTTGTTGCTGGTTTTGTCACATTAATCCGTTGTAGCGTTGTCTGGCTTGTTGATGTGCTGGCTAAAAGGACCAGTTTGACTTTGTCTGATCATGAGTAGAAATAACGACTATAATGAAGTACAAATCTCTTCTTTCACTTCAGCAGTCCTTTTTTTCCTTCTCGAAAAAACCAAATATGAAGTGAGTTCCAGTAAAATACGGAAACGAAAGGCTTTACCTAATGAATCGAATTTCGGTTCATAACGAGGACATTCGAAATTCTGTGGCTTCCAACCGATAGCAGCCCACGATTGTCCTGGATATCGCAAAACAACTTCTATTTCATCCTAAAATAAGCGAATAGAACTTTAGAAAATATTTTTTACATTATTGAGATCTGCCTCAAGCTAAAAAATCTCCATAGATTTTCTTTTTTTTTT